GAAGGGAAGGGAAGGGAAAGGTTCCCTCTGATCAAGGGTACTGCTGGTCTCATAGGGAGCAGGAGACAGCTTGGTGTGCTTTAGGTAATTATCTGATAACATCAAAGCCTACTTCTACTGCAAAAAAAGAGACAGCATGAGGAGGAAGAGGCTCTACCTTCCATAGGAAGGCAGAAGTGCTAGCATTGGGCTGTGATGGTAAACTTCTCCACCCGATCTTCAGCACTGCTTAAGGCTTTGCTGCACCCCTGCCTCCATCTCATCTGTGACAGTACATCTTTACTAGCTGTTTGACCTCATTTGCTTCAGCTATTTTCAGAAGTGGGATGGTTTTTAAGAGGATAGTTGGATGATTTCCCTGTATAATACACTTATAAGATTTTGTGTAGTTTTTAGTAATCGAAGTAAAGTTTCAGGTAACTGATCAAATAAAGAAAGGAAAGCCCAAACATTCCAGCTTCAGGTCATGGTTGAGTAGACTTTTGCTGACATCAGCCATTATTAATTACACCAGCTAAATTACAAAGATGTTATCGCAGCTCTGGGAACCAAGCATACTGTAATTACAAGGGCTGTTGGGTTCCCCATTCTGCATCCTTTCTTTTGGCTTTAACCATCAAGGCTCCAACTCAAAAGTGAACAGATTTACGTAGAGCCTTCAGGGTTGCTGTGAAAGCAGTGTGCAATGAAAATGCATCCATCTGATGACAGATGCAGTGTCCTGCACCGTTGTGTGTTGCACCAGGTACAGGCTGGTGCACTTACTGGGGTGACAGATGTAACAGGGTCTTGCCTATGAGTGGTGGATGCTTGGCTGGCATTAGTATTGCTTCTTGCTGTGATCAGCATGCCTGCAAGAGCACTACTGCTTATCTTCCAGCCACCAAAATACTGTACAGCTCTGTGGATCTCAGGATGGCTTTTTAAACCTTTTAAAACCTAGCAACAGATAGCACCCTTGAAAATGCAAACTGCAGTGGCCACAGCCTCCATCAGCACATGAAAGATGTACAGCCCAGGATGTATTTAAGAGGAAGCCACAGCAATCAGTGCATTCAGATGCGTGCTTCCACCTTTGTCATTCAGCACATGTCCCAGTTCAGGAGGGCACTTACATATTTCCATATTGCCCGAGATTGCCCGACTGAAGTCGATGGGACTGGCTGATAGCAGTAAAACTGCTTGCAATTGAAATGAGATGCGTTTTTTAGACACTGCTGAACTGGGGCCTGCAATGGCTAAGGGTGGGGAATGCTCAGCAATGTAACATTTCTGTTCTTTATGAAGATAAAGAATTTGCTCCCCCACCCCCGCTGGAAAAGTAACTGTATCTGGAGTGCATATTGGGTAGCTTTTTAGGAATGAGGACTGAATGCCATCTTGCTGGCAGACAGTTGTAATGGCTCTGTGTTACAGGTTCTGAAATATATAGGGTCTGTTTCTAAAAATTGAAAGCTGTCACATAGAAGCTGGCTGGCTGGTTGAGCCAGCTGCAAGGAGACTCAGGTTAGGAGCTTCCTTTTAGCTTCTACCTCTGTTTTCTATTAGATCAGCTTCCTCTTCAAAAATGTACAGGTAAAGGAAAATCTAGACAAAGATTGTAGCCTTCCTTGGAAACGTAGCTTCACCACTGAAATAGACCAGTGGCAATGCTTGGTGGTGCTGAGCCCTAGCAAGCACCAGTCCCTCACTGTCCCTGTCCTGCTACAGGGTACAGTTTGGGCCAGCAAAGCAAGGGTTCCTCCGGGCAACATCAGTCAGGCTCCTTAAATGTTGATGTGAGCAGCCAAGCTGGCTGCATCTGAGGTGATGCAGGAAAAATTCTCTCAAATGACCCTACTGGCAGGTTGGTGAGTACCATTGCTTGAAACAAGGCAGTAGGAAAAAGCAGCTGCAAGCAGTAACCATTCCTGCAGGTACACAATGTCCCTATTGCAGCTGATGTTCTGTGCAAGGTGTGCTGCTGGTGAAACTGTGCAAATTCCCTGAATTTTCTGAAAAATGTGTAACATCTGTATTTATGCATTTCCAGCCGTAGTTATGTTTATTCCTATTCCAGCCGCTGTTGTGTTTAGCAGGACTGAGTTGTTTTTCTTCATCATCTGGTATGATGTTCTGTTTTGGTTTGAGGAGAAAAACAATGTTGATAACACACCGATGTTCCTGGATGTTATTGAGTAGCACTGTACAGAGCCAAGGCCATTTTAGTTTTCTCTGTTTCTCCTCCTGTCCTGCCAGCAAGGGGCTGGTGGGCATAAGGAGCAGGGAGTGGCCAAAGGCATATTCTGTACCGCATGACAACTTGCAGAAGGCAAGTTTGAAAAAGGAGGAGTTCATTGGGTGGTCTTCTGCTGCTTGGCGACTGGCTGGGTATTGGGCTTGCAGATGATGTGTTGCACAGATCAGGAGGATTATGTGCTGTATGGACAATGGTATTCTTTCAAACTTTCAGTTGATAGTAACTGTCTATTTTCTAAACATTTCTGATACCACTGGTGCTGTGAGTTGTAGATCTAAGTTGCATGTTGTGTAACAGCCAAGTGCAAAAGATTGCTCTGAGATCCTTTGCATTCCATCTCTGCATCATGGCTGTGATGATCCACGCACACCTTGCTGCCAACACCTTCCCCCCATGCGGGACTGTGGGCATTGTTCCAAGGGTCACTTCAAGGTTTGTTTGCTCAGACTTTCAATGAGCCAGTGAGAAGAATGACATCATAGGTGCTGCCAACTTCACAGTGGCAGAGTAGGCTGCGTAGCAACAGCAAGATCAATGAGCTGCATGAACTTGGACTTGTTCTGTAATGAAGATAAGTTATAATAATGACGAGCCCATCTTCACCTGGCAACCAGCGGTAGGATACAGCTTGAAGAAATAATAATTTTCTTTTGAATTATGTTTTGTCTTTTGACCCATGTTTTCTTCCTTTGTTGTGTTGTTTTTTCCCCAGCTGGGATGACAGCAGCTCTGTCAGCAGTGGGATCAGTGACACCATAGATAATCTCAGCACTGATGACATTAACACCAGCTCCTCTATCAGTTCTTACGCCAACACACCTGCCTCCTCCCGTAAAAACTTAGATGCACAGGTAAAGTAAAAGAGTAACACTGATATTTATTATTTTCTCATGCAATCAATATTATTGTCTTAAGTTGGATGAACTCTTATTCATGCCTTCACAGATACTATTTCCTGACAGAACAACAATTAAATGCATGAATATTTTTCCGTTAAACAGTAACCTTGTTCTAATTTGCAGCTGTCTTTACAGCCTTTCAGCAATGCAGACTGAAAAACTTGGAAACTGAGAAAAACATTAAGAATACCAAGAAATATTGTTGTTTTGACTGATGCTGAGCACCATACTTCACCAAAACTAAGCTCCAGATTCGTAAATTAGTCCATGCTAATATTTTTTATGTGTCTTTACCACCTTCCCCTTTCCCATGTACTTGACCAACTGAACGCATGCACAGCCCTCAATGCAGTGGGTGTTGCTGAAAAGGAAATGTCAGGCAGCAGCAACCATCGTATGTGGCGTTTATGAATGTTTCCTCTGTGTGTGTTATCCATGGAATATCTGCTGTGGTGTTATGGCAACAAATGTTTTTTTTCCTTCGTAACAGGACTGCTGTACAGAAAACATGCATTAGTAGATGGGATTTTTTTTCCTAGAAAAGGATGTTACGTTTTTTTCAAAGAATAGAATTTGAGTAAGTCAGCGTGAAGGTTAAAGATTATTTGCACTCCCATCGGAAATGTGCATGTACTAGGCAAATGAAATAAATTATTTGTAACTTCTGGGGCTGCACATTACTTCAGGCTTACTATTCCCAGCAGCATTTCATAGGAAGATAAATTTTGTGTCCATCAGCAGCCTACATGTATATATGTCAAAGCTACTGCCCTGCAGTGACTCAGCACTGCAGCAGGTAGAGAAGGAAGGATAGACAACTTTCTCTTCTGTTTCTTTCTTCTTTTATTCTTCTTTCTTTTCGTAACTGGACCCTAAATTTGCTTTTAATACCTGTTCTGATGTAGAAGTGTGGTTGCTGTGAAGTCTTACTCTGCCTGCAGGACTGTGGTGCAAGCATATATTTACTCTTTGTTCCCTTGCCATAGTGCATATTTGAGCCTACATTAAAGATTCCCAGTTAGCCTCTGGTTGTGTATCAGTGATTTCATGTGTGCTCGAAACTGCTAATGCAAGTCCTGTACAAGTTGAGAGGAGTTAAGGTGTATCAAGCATGTTTTTCAGTATCTTAACAGAGGCAATAACGTAGGCAACTCAAATGTTTTTTTGACAATTGTTAATATCTCAACATTGTAATACTGTAGGGAAGAAAAAAAGGAGGAAAAAGGAGACGTGATTAAATATTAAACTAAGAAAAAAAGTAGAAACTCATTTGACTTGTATCTTCTGATGGATCAGATTCTTGGAAACACCTCTAAGAGATCAAAATCTGTGTTGTTGAGCTTCTCTTCCTCCTCCACAACTATCACAGCATCCAAAAGAATGCAGACCTATAGCATAGGCCAGAAGGAGATGAGCTGAAGCTTGTAAAGAGCGTAGCCATTAAAAGAGGGAACTGGGAGCCAAAATGTACGGGTTTGTTTACAGTTCTTTGATTTATATCTGTTAACTGCTTCTCTCCTCAGTTTCCATGACTGAAACTGTTTATTCTAGGTACTACTAACTGCAGATTATTATCCATAAAATACTTTGTTTTCATTTAACTACAACAAAAAAAATCCTGTTCTTGTCAGCCAGGGGTATGGAGATAACAGGGAGTGATGGAACCATGTGCATCTTGCAGGGCTGTTTTTTGTTGCCCAAAGTAGTCCTCACTGCTCATGACAATAACGACTGCTGCATATATGCTTTTTTTGCTTTGTCTTGAGTATGGTGACCTGTGCCAGGGTTTGCATTCCCTTGCTTGGTAAGCCACAAAGGACTGGTACACATCTGCACAGGGATGCAGACTTTTCTTCTCAGGTGATCCATTGCTTTGGTTCTTGTAAATAGCAGGCACTTAACTTTTAAGCTACCGCATCTATTTGAGGTGGTACAGAAGTTGGGTTTCAGATAATTACAGAGGGAGTGGAAGCTAACACATGTGCAGCTGGGAGTTCAGACAAATAAGACAGCTCATCAAAGGGAGAGAGCCCTAACATGTCAGTGTCTACTGATAAAATCAGCAAGTTACTCTGCAATGAACAGGACATGCTCACAGTAGAAAAGAAGGTCTCTGCTAAGAAACTGATTTTCAGAACTGCTGAATACCTCTATCTGCAGAAGAAGATGTATTTTGTTCATCTCTGAGAACCAGGCCCTAGAAATGGCCATGACTTAATCTTTATAGACACTGATTATCGTAGTCCCCTTTGGTAGCAGTGATGTGGAGGTGTTCTCAAGTTGATTCTGAACAAGCCAGGGAAGGGAACCAGAATTTACCTTACCATGGCACTATGTCTTGCTCTGGTCATCATAGAATCACAGAACAGTTTGGGTTGGAAGGGACCTTAGAGATCATCCAATTCAAAACCCCCTGCTATAGGCAGGGACACCTCTCTCTAGACCAGGTTGCTCAAAGCCCCATCCAGCCTAGCCTTAAGTGCTTCCAGGGAGGGGGCATCCACAACCTCACTGTGCAGTCTGTTCTGGTGTTGGCTTATGCCAAACACTAACCCACTTAACGTAGCTATACTGCTTTTGCAGCGCTGTAAATTTTTCCCAAGCACTGCAGAGACTTGATTGGTTTACCTTTTAATACAGCACTGCATAGAGTGCCATTAAGGTCATATCATACATATATTGCAAAGAGAGATGAAGACATTGGTGGGCATTTGAAAATAACTTATTTAACTTGAACAAGATAGAAGGGGAGATTCAGTCGTAAACTTGTTCTCATAATCATACAGAGATCACAAGAAGGAAAGGAAGCAATTCCTTTAAATAGAAAACAGCAGCATCTTTAAACTGTTGGACCAAGATGACTTCCAGTTTCATTGGATCAAAGATGGATTTGATCTGTTTACAGCTTAGTGAATAGATTTATTGTGCTGCATGTCTTGCTGTGTCCTGCAGCAGAGTTTTCCACTTTCACCTAATCCAGGCCTTTCAGGTGGGTGGAGTTTCTGCTGAAACTGGAAGCCAGGTTTCACCATGTTTTGCCTTTGATTCCTTAGTCATGTTTCTGTGCTGTTCTCGTTGTTTACCATTAAGCAAACATCTCTGGCCAAGGAGCTCAGAGGGTAAACATGCACGTTTCAAAAGCTGGGGAAAAGATCTTGGAAAAAAAAATACGAGTGGGAGATGAAGTAGAACGGAAGAGAGTGGAGAGAGAGGACCTGCTGTAGTGCAGTTTACTGTGTTGAGATTGTACTATTGTTACAGATGTGAAGCGGGGAAAAGGAAAGCACAAGAGCATTTCATAGTCAACCAAAGCTATAATAAAGCCTTTACTAGCAAGTAGGTGTATTTCCTGCTCTCAAATGTGTACAGCGTAAATACGCAATTCCAGGCAGGGTATTTGAAGTGAGGCGTTAACAACATGTGAGGGATGATGTTGGGATTGTTTTGTTGGCTGATTGTTTGTTGTTTCTTGTCTATACTCTCTTCCAAGATGTGTGAGAATAAGAGATATTTTCATGAAATGATGATTTTAGAGAAACTCCAGACACAGAAATACTCACATGTGTTACAAACCTACTGATGTTCATGCAGTGAAAGGTAGCCATCCCAAAGTGTTCCAACCATACAAAAAGGAGAAAGCTAGAAGGCAGTGTTTCTCTCTGTGCTATGTTAAGTGGCATTCTTTGAATTGAGTGTCCAGGAAATAAAATTTGAATAACATGAAGAAAATGCAACAAGAAAAAAGTTATCTAAATCAATACCTCAGCAAATGCTCATTAGGCTAATGGCTCAGTACCTAGATAAATGTAGATAAATAACCCACGTACTGAAAAAAAGACCACTCTGATGTGTGGCATCATCTTTCACACACTGATCACTTAGGCTAGTTTTCTGGCTTTAAAAAGAAAGAAAAGCAGTGACAGTAAAACTCAGAAAAAATTAAACCATACCCCCCCTAATTTCTGTTATACCTATGATGTGATCTGGTAAGAAAAGGGAAGTAATGAAGTTGAAACATACCTTACAAACTTTAAAGTACAGTATTTTGCTGTAAGCACAATACATTATCACGCATCCTTTCATATGCTGTGATTTTCTGCTTATTCAAAGAGAGGAAAAGATTATGAGCTTTATGATGTTTTGTGGCATTGGAAACAATTTCAAGTATTATTACCCTTCTACTGCTGCACAGTGCTGAGTATCATACTCAGCAACTTCCAAAAATTCACTGAGTCTTACTTCATGATTAGATATTGAAGGCAGGCTCTTTTGTGATCGTTAAGGTTGGAAAAGGCCACTAAAGTAATCTAGTCCAATCACCAACCCATGATGTCATGCTTGGAGAGCATTATGACGTTTTTAACTGGAGCAGGTCATTTATATCTGAGCACAAAAAATGATTGTGGTATTCCTAAATTAATTACTAAATTAATCAACGTCATTTGAGGAGTTCTAAAAGGATAATTTTAATAGTAATCGTTGCCAATAGGAAAAGCTAGTACAGAGCAAATATATTTCACATATGTGGTAATAGAATTCATTTAAGAGCTTCTGAGAATTTGGCAAAAGTTTGCACATGAGAAAATTCTCTGACATCTTTGCTAAATTCTCAATAGAAGACTGGCAGCACAATCAGTCTGTTCAAAGAATAGGGAAAAACAGTTTGTAAAAGCTAGTTGAAAAACTGATGTAATTTGTGTATTTGAGACAGGCTTGAGTGTTGCTAGAAAGTTGGGACGGATTCATTCTTCTTCGGTTCTTGGGTGTCTTCCTAGCATATTAACAGCATTCCACATCTTCAGATCTGTTCAAAAAGCTGCCTCATCATGCTCTGGAGATCAGATTGCCAGACAAGAGATAGAAAAGCAGCAGGAACAAAGGAAAGCTAGCTGCACAGGTTCAAAATGATTTTTTGGCATTGCATTGTAAAGGGTTCCTCAGAAATCTGAGAGGGGGTTTATAAATGGCATAGGGCTGAATGTATCCTTTATAAACCAAGTTCTTTTTCCTTCTTCTTTATTTATTTATTTGTTCTAAAGGGAACAACTTGTGTGTTTTTTATGTCTATCCCTGCCGCATTAGAAAAGATATACCGTTGTTGGGGTTCTTTTCTTACTGTGACTTTTCCTATTCAGTGGTATGTTGCATTTATTGGTACTCAGAGATGAGTGCTGACTTTATTAATCAGTTTAATAATTCTTTTTTATGAAGCTGCTCAAAAGGAAGATGTGCTGTGAAGGTTCTATTATAATTCATTATCTGTCCTAGACTGATGCAGAAAAGCATTCCCAGGTCGAGCGGAATTCCTTATGGTCCAGCGATGAAGTCAAGAAATCAGATGGAGGATCCGACAGTGGCATAAAAATGGAGCAAGGATCCAAATGGAGGAGGAATCCCTCTGATGTGTCTGATGAATCTGATAAAAGCACTTCTGGTAGGAAGAACGCTGTTATTTCACAGACGGGTTCCTGGCGACGGGGCATGTCGGCTCAGGTTGGCATTACCACACCAAGGACTAAACCTTCAACCACCTCGGGCACATTAAAGACACCTGGAACAGGTGAGAAAGGTGTAAACAAGCCAAAGAAAAAAAAAAATGATCAGTAGGGAAACAGGCTGAATTCTTGACAGAAGTAGAACCTGAACTTCAGGTAATCCTGTCTTTTTATTTTTAGGTATTTTTTTCAACCTGTACAGCAACTTGTACGTCCACATTTCTGTTCCCGTTCATTTTAAAATGAATATTTTGTAGTTGTACACTGAGAAAGCTGTTTTCAAGACAACCCTGTTCTTAAGCCAAAATATTTTTTGGGCATAGTATTAACATATGAAGCATAAATAATGTAATTTTAGCTTTTGAAGTCACAATTAACTTTCAGAATATACAGTGTATGTGGTTGAGGAGAGGTTTTTTTTGTTTTGTTTTGTTTTTCCAGTACTAAACCAGCATGCTAATTTATACTAAAACACCTTTTAGTTCTGGGCTTTCTCGTAAATTTAGAGTTGATTTTAGCACTTGCAGATGTGTGAATGAAAAATGAGTGAAGTTACATAAGCAAGTAATGTAAGTTAATGCCTCTTATTTGATTGTGTCCACACAAAAAAGTTGAAGTCACTACTTATTTTCTTGAAAAATACATTTTAGGAAAATAGTTGATTGCCTGACACAACTTATTTCTGATGATAAAAGGGGATCAGTCTGTAGTAGCTGCAGAGCGCTACATTTTTTTTCTAATCTGTCACTATTACATAAGTTTGTTTTGTTTTCCATGCTATCAAGGGCAAACACCCCATATACTTTCTCTGGCAAGTCTGCATGTATAACTCACTAGAGTGGCTTTTAAGTTCAGTGCAGACTAGATCATAGTTTTAACCACACTCTTGTGGTTAGCACGCTTTTGCTTTTCATGCTGCTTTGAGTTTCATCATTTGCTTGCTGTTTTCAAGTCATTAAATATTAGAATTCTTTTTCTATTTTTGTAGGGAAAACTGATGACGCCAAGGTATCAGAGAAGGGTAGACTATCTCCTAAGGCTGGACATGTTAAACGTTCCCCATCAGATGCAGGACGCAGCAGTGGTGATGAATCCAAAAAGCTTCCCACAAGTAACTCTAGAGCAACTGCTGCTAATGCTAATGCATTCGGATTTAAGAAACAGAGCGGGTCAGCTGTAGGCATGACCATAATTACTGCCAGTGGGGCAACTATCACCAGCAGATCAGCTACTCTGGGAAAAATCCCAAAGTCGTCCGGACTCATGGGTAGGACCGCTGGTCGGAAGACTAGTGTTGATGGCTCACAGAACCAGGATGATGGCTACTTAGCGCTCAGTGCTCGAACTAACCTTCAGTATCGTAGTTTACCCAGGCCCAGTAAATCAAGTAGCAGAAGTGGAGCTGGGAATAGATCTAGCACTAGTAGCATAGACTGCAACATAAGCAGCAAATCAGCTGGGTTGCCTGTCCCTAAAATGAGAGAGCCTGCCAAGGTAATTCTTGGAAGCTCTCTGCCAGGATTAGTCAATCAGACTGATAAAGAGAAAGGGATTTCGTCTGACAACGAAAGCGTGGCCTCATGTAATTCTGTTAAAGTGAACCCTGCATCACAGACTGCTTCTAGTGGAGCTCAAAGTACTCACCAGCAAGGAGCCAAGTACCCTGACGTGGCCTCTCCCACTTTGCGCAGGTAGGCAATAAATTCATTGATTGTGAAATGATGTTAGTTAGAGCTGAATGATCCAGGACTCTTTGAGCCAGGTCTGGCTGTATTTTGAGAAGCATTCAGTGTCCTACATGAAGGTCTTTGTACTTAATTTCACATAAGCAGTTTGACTAGTGTTGTAAATACACAGAATACTGTGAGACAAGAGTGTCGCCTTTGTTTTGGCGAGACTGGCTGAAGTCCCTTTGTGAAAGTGTTCCAACAGCCCCGGTCAGCTTCACACGCTTTTCATGACACCAATATGGTGAGCTTTCATGACCCCAATATGATGAGCTGCAAAATGGGTTTGTTGCAAGGAGCACTCCCTTCTTAAAGCTTCCCCATGCCTTAGGACTACTAAAGTTACCTCTGACTAATGGACATGTGGCATGTCTTGTTTCCTCCTTACTTGGTCTAACCTGTTCTTCTCTCTTATCTTCAAGACATCTGTTGCCATGATTTCCCAAGGGCCAAGGGGCCCCTGTGGACCCTGGCGACTGCCACAGCCCATTCAGTTGACTACATTTCCCCCTCCCTAAGCACAGGCCAATCTATTACAACCTGAGAGGACCCTAATCATGTACATCCCGAAACCCCCGCATTACGCCTATACATGCCATTGTTCTCTCAGTTAAGTGTCACCCCGTTACATCGCAACGCGCCAAATAATCCTACCCTAATAACCCTATAACCTATTAACCTAGTAATCCTTATGTCTTAAGCGTGAGTTCTACATAAAGCTATATATTGCATTCTTAGACAATGCTGATTCGTTCGTCTTAGCATTTGCCATATGAGTCATTCGTCTCAGCATACACTATACTTATCTATTAATATTAGACCTAATACAACTATAACTGAATACAGAATAAACAGAGTTAAACATCCGTTACAGCGCGTATGCGAGCCCAGTTACAATCTTTCCTGAAGCCTATGTTATTCCAGAGAATACCATAGAATGGTATACTGGAATACCAGTCGTTGATTACTTAAATGTTATTGCAGACAGTTCATGAAGCATGGTGCACAAATCATGATGCAGGTCTCACACCGCTGAGCAGGGGGAGGTCCTATCCCGTCACATCCCAAGTCCTCGCCTTCTTCGCCTGCTGCGACATCTCTCCCATGCTCAGGGAAACCTGACTGGCTTAAGCACCATGCACATCAGATTTGTTACATGCGGAAACAGAAGGCCTAATGCTGTCAGGACTTCTAATGCATTTAAAGCGAGGAGTGATTTCAATCCCTGTTTCTCTGCACAATCTATCAGGTGTGTGATGCCTTTCGGATCAAGGGGTTCCCCTTCCGGGCCTCTGTTATTGTTCCCCACTATCAGGAAGGTCTCTCGTGCTCTTCCTTCCTCTATCAGGCTAGATCTAAACTTCCCACAATCTGTTAGTGCATCTCTCTTAACTCCTAAATGCAGATTCACCTCTCTCCTTTCGCTATCCTGTTCAGTCACAGCTGGAAGCTGCGGGCTCCGCACTGCTCCCACTGTGCCCATCTCCCTTTGATCAAGCACTGACTGTTGTGGAACCTTCTGATTGTGGATCCTTCTGATTGGTTGTATACGCACTCAATCTTGTAAAAGGATGTGTGGGTCGAGTCAATGGGTCTGAACACTCTGGGCAGAGAGTGGGTCCGGAGACTATCGCTATTTCTTTCTCCATTGGGTGCAACCTGAGCAGAGGGCGCCAGCCGGACGCCACCTGCTCCTTCAGGCGCAGTCAGGGTGGACAGTGCTGGCCAGACACTATCATCCCAGCGCCTGTAACTTACATCACTTCCCTTTCTCTCTGCTGTTTTTTCTTTTACCGCCTCCCTAACTTTTGACCAATCCGTACCTGAGCCTTGCCTGCAGTCCCCACCCCCCGGGCGTAACTGCAAGTACGGTAACAGCAAGTGTCCCATCCCAGCTCACTTCTCTCTAACGCCCCCACAGGTGGTGTTAGATTATGCAAAGACAGCGGTTGTCTTAGATACAGCGGGGGGGGGGGGGGGGGG